TTTTTATTGTTGAATGCGGTTAGCACCAAGCTTTAAAATGTGACATTCCCCTATTTTTTTAATTAGCTTGGTGATTTATAAAAAAATAAAATGTAAAACCAATATACTGGGGCAATCTCACCACACAGGGGGGTAAAATCACCACACAACTGGGGAAATTTCGTCACCAGAAAAATGTAGGGAGTTTAACGCCTAAAAATATGCTACACTGATCAAGCGTACCATTTTTGTTGACGTCCTATATTTGTTGCTGCTGCTGGTAGTCTGCTCGTTAGCCAGCTCGTCAAATATAAAAATATGTATTTAAAATAGGTGCGAATTTACCCTTAGCGTACGGTGGCGAAATTTCCCCAGACCGTACTTTTTTAGAAATAATTATTTTTCTTGCGAAATTAGGCGCGAAGTTAAAAATCACTGACGCAGAAATGCACATTATAGCACTGTGTATTATATAAAAAATCGTGTATCTTATTCCTTTTGAATTGTGGCATACAGAAAAAATTTCGTCGAGAACTAAATGTAGCTTTTGAACTGTTAAAACACATTTAATATTATAGCTTAATTATCTTGGCCTTCTGTGCAAAACAAATGCATTGGTTGTGTCTGGCCGTCTTGAAGGACTAAAACAAAAAAATTATATATTTTTACGACTTATGGATTCCGAGATATTGCAGGTGACGAAATTGCCCCTGTGACGAAATTCCCCCACTCTCCCTATATAGCTTGATGCTTAACTTAATTTAATTACATTTTGCAAATAACTACTTCGAAAAATATTAAGACGGAAAATACAGAAATAATTAATTTGTGATAAAAATTGACAATATTTTAGTGCGCCCTATTTTTATTATAAAACATTGAGCGACCAAATTTCCGCTTGTTTATTAAATTTAACTTAATTTTGAAATGATTGACCTGTTAGTAAGAAGAGATTGTTAAAGCCAGTCTTGAGTATTAAGATTATATCAGAGGACCTACAAGCATATCGCATCACAACGGCCATATTTCATTATAGAGAGCCTTGCAGCTCGTTTAACATTTGGCTATTAAAAATGGCGCCATTGATGCGCATATTTATTGTGGCTCGGCATTTTCATAATGTTGGATTATCTAGGCACATGTCTTGCCAGGATTTATGTGCCGGGAAAAGCACACACAAGGAGGAAAGAGAGACGTTGCGCGGAGGACCAAGAGTCAGCTTTAAGCCGTAAGGAAATTGAAATCTTAAGCTTTATTGTTTCACTGGCCCCTCTCTTTTCTGCCATTCAGTTTTCGGATCCGTGGGGGATTGCCCCGCGCGACGCATGCAAAGTGAAGCAGGAAAGTGAATAAAACTGCAGCAAAAGCAATTTTCATAAATATTTAATGGATAATGGCGAAAATAAGCGCAAGGAGCAGGGCACAGCGGCATGATGAGAGGGCAGGGAAATGGCCAGCTCTACACATGTCGGTCTGTTTTCCGACCCATCTCCTCTGTCAATGTATTGTAATGTTTGTGTAGATATATATACAGGGCACTCCACTCCTCCGTATTGATATGTCAGCATAACATATGTGGGCATTTCCCTGAGTGTGTGTACGAGTCTCAGCTTTTAGTTTCAGCCCAAGTCCCAGTGATTCTCATTAAAATGCCAAAAAAAGGAATGTAAGAGTTTGTGTCTCAACTGTGATTCTACCTTTTATTCTTTTTATTTTAAAACGGTTGAACAAATTTGTACTATGGAGTTTTTAAAGAAGATATAAATAAAAGGGATAGATTAATTTTCGTAGATGATTAAAACTAATATTGATATTAATAGAATAATAATTTAGGGACGAAATGTACTATGGACATTTATTGATTGGCTAAGTTTTATTTTTTGTTTACCATATAGTACAGTCTTCAAGGATTTGGAATTCTTTTCATTCGAAGCATCTAAATAACCTTAAATATTTGAAATATTTTTTTATATTCCGGCTATATTTGGCCACCTCAAAATTATTTACAATCTTATGTAGATCCAGAAACTTGAGTAACCGAAATATTAGATACCCCATAACGAATACCAATTACAGCGCACGAAAAGCCGGGAAAATGAGGGTAAAATTCACGCGAAATGGAGCAGCCAGCGAGCGGGAGTGTCCGCCCATTGTCCTTATCCTGCTGCCTTCTGCCTCCTGCTTTCTGCTCCTCCTGGTCGCTGGAGTCCTTCAAGTGTGCCCATTACAGACGGCAGAAATCATAACAATAAAAGTGTGACAGGGCGGAAGGGCAGAGGCGGATGGCGAATGGGCTGTTCGCTGTTGGCCGTTTTGGGGGCGAAAGCCCCCTTACTTAATCGATGATGATGAATAATTGATTCGGTGCGATGCGCCCAAGCATGGAAATGAAAATGTCGGTGCATGCGGGGAGCGGCTTTCTGCTTCTGTCTCTGTTTCTGTTTAAGTTTCGGTTTCAGAGAGAGAGAGAGAGAGTCCTTTTAGTCCTTTTTGCACGTGTGTGTCTGTGTCTGTGCCTGTGTCTGCGCTGTGTTCTTCTGTGTGTAACGAATGGCAAATTTCAGGAAGCGGAAATGGCAATTGCAAGCGATGGGAAAAGGCAGCAGAAAGACAACGGCTGAAGCAAATGTGAAGTTGTGCGCTAAATGAAATGCCAACACAGCAACACGGCCGTGCAAAACGGAAATAGCAAATGCGAATGACGCTGGATTGTTGGACGGTTGGCTGGGCCAAAGGGGGGGGAGGGGGGTTTTGTGGGGGCCATGGTGGTCCTGGGCGGATGGGAAGACAGGTGCCAAGGCACACAATTTGCCGGTATTTAAATTTTATTTTGAGTTCTGTTTAAGCGCGTCAGGAAGCAAATATAAGGAAATGGATAGCGACAAACGATGAACACATTTCCTATCAATTTGGCAGAACAGTAACACTGGTCTTTTAAATTCGTAGATAATGTTTAAAGTTGATTATAATTTGAGGAAAGGTCAGCAAGGTCAGCAAGGTCAGCAAGGTCAGCAAGGTCAGCAAGTTCAGGTTCTGCAATCTGAAACATAGTCCCGTCAACTGTAATGTATGCTTATATTAATGAATATTATCTTGAGGTTAACACATCACTATAATAAATGCAACATATATACACAGTGCAACAGGGAAAATGTATCTACAATACGGATCGATTATAAAATAAGATCTCGTTTGAGTATTAGAGCCAGTTAAAGATTTTAAGTAAAACAATATTTTTAAAAATGTATAACTTTTTATTTAAAATGTAAAAAAAAAAACACCATACGGGTTGTATATTGTATCCAATTACAAAATATTCCAAATAAATTCATCATCTCGATAAGAAATTTAAAAATCCAAACTTAACAATGTAGCATAGTGTTATCAAACCGTAAACATGACTCAATACTTTGCAATAAAATCTATAACATTTAATTTAATTTTTGGCTCAATCCTGCATAAATTGAAACGATTTATCGTCAATTAAATAATCACATAAATAGGTGTCATAAAAATGACAAGCAATTTAAAGTCTTTATTTTATTGCTTGTTTGTTTTTTTATACAAAAATATAATTTTTTTTTCAAAGAATATTGTGCACTTCATATTCAAAGCAATTTTAAATTAAAATAAACTTGATCTGCGCGAATGAAAAACTACACCAAAAGTAGAAATCCAATTGAAAGGCTTTCTTTATTTTCTCTCTCTTTCTGAATAAAGTTTCATTTGCTGGCAAGAGTTTTTCATTTGACACGGCATCGTCATTTTTTCTTTCCTCTTCCCAGGCTATGTATTTAAAAATATAATTGTATTGAATATTTAAATGCTTCCCAGGGCGAGAGTCGCCAAATTCGCTGTCAGAACTGGACTGAAATCAAAATCAAATGCAGTGCCTGTGGCTTCTGCGACTGCTGGCTGCCTGTCATTTCGGGACAAAATTAGATTTAAATATTTTGGCATTTTCCATCAATTTTCATATAATGCAACCCCATCCCATCTCGGCTGAGATGCTGGTCCTGTTGCATGGAGGAATGCTGATAGTAAGTGGGATTCGTCTGTGGCAAGTCATTCCAGACCCCGCCCCGCCCCCACACTCATACACTCTCACTTACGAGGATTGAAAGACAGGCGCACACAGCCACACATGCTCAATCATTTATGCAGCAATCAGTGCTGACGTCTTTTCCACACGTACGATTACCGGCATAGAGAATCGGGCCCTACTCTCGGTTATGTGGAGCATATTGGGAATCGAAATTGAGTGCGGGTTAACAATGAGGCAGTTGAGATTGCGGCAGCTCCTCTCGAAGCTCGGTGGCTAGTGAATTTCTCGAATTTAAATCTATGGGGGCCGGTGCTCACTGCGTATGAGTAATACTATTCAAAGATACAAGGACGTGTTTTGAACTTATTAAATATTAAGGTAAGATTTCTAAGAATTAAAAAAAAAAACTGCTTATTTACCCTCCACCTTATCCACATTTCTGCACAAACAGTAATAAAAATTATTAACAAAAAAGTTGACTTAAATGTTTAAATTTAACCACCATTTATGCTACCTCTGTACAATCGAGAACCTAAAAAAAAATATATATAGCATCTCGTGAAGTGCAACCGCCCAAAAAACTCAATTGGATTATTTGAAGGTTGAAATCAAATTAAGTCAAGTGTATAAATTGACTTTTAGTTCATATCAAATTCGCAAAAAAGCGCACCAAAATAAAAAAGAAATGCATGAAATGGGTTGAACAAATAAGGTGAAAGCGAATCCATAGAAAGTCATAGTTTCCAGTCAGCGATGTCTGATGAAATAGGATGGAAAAGGCACTGAGTTGTGATAAACTAAAAAAAAAGGAAAATATACATTTCATTTTTAAATTAAAACAAGCAAATTAAGCGATCAAACAAAAGCGAAAGGAGCCTTTTTAAATCTAGCAATTTTATTAAGTTAAGTAATAGAAAACGAAAAAAGTCTAAAATAAAGTAGTCATTGAAAATACTCTTGTTGGCAGGACGTCTGACATCTTGATTGCATATTTTTTTGAACATACAACAATAACACCAATTTGCTAAAATGAATAACGATGAATTGGTCGACTTTACTGACTTAATCAGCAGTAAGAGCGGTCCACTGGACCTAAGACTGCCCGACGTGCGTCACATCAAGGATATAGGCGAGTTCATGTCCGATCCCAAAAACTTCAATGGCGATATCAATAAATTGACCGATGGCCTGGAAGCAAAAGCACAGCAATGCCGGAATGTTCTTAAAATCCTGAAGGAGCGACTCCAGTTGAAGACGGCCACTATGCAAAAGGTTAAGACGGACGTTATGGAATTGGATGCGGAGATCAAAAAGCCCGGGGCTGAAAATCGTTTTGTGACCAACCATGAGAAAGTAAAATTGCATTTTCTAGACGAGACAGATTCTGGTGAATACAATGTGCCCGAGGCCCTGGAACGTTACAGCGTTAAGATGAGCTCCCTTTACCGTGAGATTCTGGCTTTGGACAGCGATGTCGACTGTGTCTCTTATCTGGTCGGAGTTGCCCAGATCAACATCGACTATGTGAAGGATTGGTATAAAACGAAGATACAAAATAAGACCGAAAAATCGCTTCCCGATGACGTTGGCGATTCAGTAAAGAAATTCTGAAATTTTCTAAGCAAAATTTCTATTAGTTTGTTTTTTATTATCCTATTAATAAAGGAAATAAACAACGTTCTATGATTATAAGAGTCTAATGCCTTGTCTCTTGGGTATTTTTATCAGATTTAAGAGTTGTATTGCAAGAAAAGATTCCAAATTACCCTTAAGTAATCTTCTCCACTTTTAAATCCTATCCTTAAGAATCTCTTTTCTCGCCCGGCTTCTCCTCTTCCCTCCTTGTTCTTCCGTTTCCTTTCTATCCGTTTACCTGTCACTGCCAGCCCGCTGGCCGCTTCATCATCATTCCCCGTCCGTGAATAATCCGTGCGACACTTGCGTTTTATGGCTTTGCATAGTTAGGACCTGTTAAAGAAGGGACCTCTTCCTGGACAGTGTGCTCAGGCGTCTGCCCTTGTAGCCAGTGTTTAGCTGGACCTGGGAAGCTGAATCTGTAGATGCACTGGAAGAAAATGTTCAATTTTCCAATGAGTAATTGCTTACAGTTGATTGGAAATCTTTTTAAAAAGCTTACTTACAATTTCTAAAAACCTGAAATTCCCAAACCGCCTCTATAGCCAATGGGAAATTGTATTCTTCTTGAAATAATATATTTTAAAATAATACAATAAGGATAATAAGGAATTCTTAGAATTATTTAAGTCCTTGAGCATTAATTCCTTGTGTGTCATTTATTTTATTATTTGTTATGTTTTATTTACTAACTTTTCTTGTTAGTTTCGATATTTTTCTTCGTGTGCTTAGTGAGTTGGCAATCGGAGCAGGAAGCCAACAACAGGTTGCGTGCCAATGCAGTTTTTCATTGTGCAGTGTCGGCGCTGATAGCGAGTGTAATTATTATGCTGGACTGCGGGGGTTGGGTTTTCCGAAAGGAAGAATCGTTCTATTTCTGGTTCTGGACACCCTTACTTGTTTCCCATTTTTTGTTCCTTTTTTCTGCTGTTGTTGCTATCCACTTTCCGACGCATAAACGCGTCGTATTTATGCAATAAATAAAATGCAATTGTTGCGCCAGAATAGCTGGAATGGGTTTTTTGGGTTGCGGAGTGAGGGGGTGGCTTTTTGGCTCTGGGCTTTTGCCGCCATGTTTGTGAACAACTGCAAGATGGCGCCCCGCATCCGTTATAGCTGAACAACCAATTCAGCGCACACTTTCGCTGCTTTTGTAGTCGGGCGTCTGCTAAACTTCCGGTTGGGAAAGTTGTCGCGTTTTCGGGAGGTCCTGCTTCCGCTCTCCTGTCTCTGGCTTACTTAGCTCCGCTTTAATTTGACAAAAGATCGCATTTAAAGGCCCGGCGAAATTTACGCTCCTCGAACAGCGACATCGAGGCGAAAGGTCAAGGGGTGGCATAAATAATGCAGCGAACAACGAAAACGACAAAGTTGCGGACTTGAGCTAACCGGCTGCTGCTGCTGGCCAAGACTCACTTGGCCTGCATAGAAATTGCAGGTTACAGTTGCTAATTGAGTGTGCCGAGTCTGTGCAGGTGGCCTAATGTAGGTAATTAGTGCGAGCCAACTTTGCCAAAAAGATTCCGGCACAAAGTTGCTCCGGATGGGGCTTTTCTCAATTGCATAAGTTGTCGTCGTGGCCGGAAAATAAATGTAAGAGATTGGATAAGCAAGGTTTACATTTAGCAAACGTATATTATTTAAAATAATCCATTAATTGGTAAAAAATATTTTCGGTAATGTCTTAAAAAATATAAATAATAAAAAATAAGTTATGTTAGTCCCAATTCGTGAAGAACGCGAAATGTGCTTTATAAAATTAGACATTAATAAAGAAATTTTAAAAAATGAGAAAAAACTAAATCAATTATTTTTATTGAACAGAAAAAGCAAATCATATGCATCATTGCAACTACAAAAAAATAAATAGTGGAAACAACTTTAGTAATTCGAATTATACGCATAGAGCATTATTCTGCCTGACAAAAGTTAAAGTGATTATGTTATAAATTTAGAACGTTATCATTAATGAATAATCATAAATGTCAACGTGATTTAGAGCTTTGTGGAACCTATTGACTATGCGACAGCTCTATGGTAACCAACATACAAGCCAATATGGAGATATGCACTCTTAGCTAACTGAAATCTCATGTATAAGCCTTGTCGTGCTTTCAGTTTGAACTCGATTAAAGCCATGCACAAGGACATCGGCATAATGCAGTTGTGGTGGGAATATAGCTGACCGGTTTGTGGGCAATCCGTGAGATATGGAGCATCTGCAGGATGAACTCACGGATCCAGGACACGTGGGCAGCCTTTGTCTGGTCACGAGGACAACTTGCCACATGTGGCAAATTAACTTAAAATTAAGCAATTAATTTAATTAGAGCACGGCATGTGCACAGTGCGGCCCCAAAGATTTGCCGCACACGCAACAGTTGCAATTAAGCAGCCTTCGCACACAGATGTACCCTCATAAGCACCCAACCACCCACCCACACACACACTGGGGAAACAATGCTCTTTCTGCTGCAATTGCATTTTAAGCGCATGCGGAAATTACAAACTCAAATTGATAAAGCAAAATCTGTGCACATGTGTTGCATATGGCAGTAATAAAAACCTGGTAATATAAGGTGAAAAATGGGCTTACGCCTGGGACTCCAGTAATATCAAAGGAAAAAGAGAGCCAGCATATATGAAATTGGAATCCAATTCATTTCTCCATTAACCAATTAAACGCAATTCATCAACTGAAATTCTCAATTTACAGAAAAACATCGGGTTAACTTGTATAAATTAAAATTCCCACTGACAGCCAACATTGAAAGGGTTTTAAAGTCAAACGGAAATTGGATTTCAATTAAGTGAAAGTTTAAATTCAACTGCCTTTCAGTCAAAGTGGAAAAATATCTATTTATAAAGCAGTATTTTATTGGGAAATCGAGGAAAAGCTTAAGACAACAGCGAAATAGAACAAATCTACCAGTTAAGAATAAAGTTTGTATATCATAGTAATAACTTAAAATTAGTCTCCATTATTTTTATTAACCTCAAAAAAATTTTTAAATGGAAAAAAAATTGTTAAATCTATTTTAGAATCGTTTTAAATTAACAAACAAAACCCAGTTTTTATAGGAGAGTAAAAAATTATTAGTAAATAAACTTTTGTCAATACTTTTTTTCAGTCAATGTATTTCACGCCAATGGATAAGATTCAATTAGAGGCACTTAAACTCTATGTCTGAGTAAACTATATCGAAATTAAAGTGTTAAGTCATCAGGCACTTTCCGCATTGGCCGTTGCCAAAAAGGGGAAATTCATTCCCATCAGCATGCTGTACAGCTTTCTGCTATCGAAGAGAAGGGAAAAAGAAGGGGAGAGAGTTTGATGATTGGTAAGCGGCTTAGTGGTGATTTTATATATCTCTTGGCTTACTAGATCGAGTCGGAGCACTTGCCCTGGGCATCGCGCACCTGATGATTTCTGCAGCGGGCGGGCTTCTTGGTGGCCGGCATCGAGGATCGTTGAACCTTCACCTTGAAAATGGGCGAGTTGTGACCTTTGGGCGGGGTGTACTCGATGCTCTCGGGCAAAGTGGGCGGTGTAATTGAAGCTGCAGCAGCTGCGGCGGCCATAATGGGTATATCCTTGGATCGACCATGCAGTGGGTGGTGGTGCTGGGGCTTAGTCGTCCCACCAATTGGCGTCTCCACGATCATCAGATTGTTTAGCCTGGACTTGGGCTTCGATGATAAACTGGCCGCAATGTCGGCCAAAAGATTAGAGCTAAAGCTGGAATTTTGTTTTGCATCGCTTGCGGTGGCCACTGTAGATACAGTGCTCTCTGGCGGCGCTGCCATCGATGTGGTGCTCGTTGTGGTGGGGGTCGTGGTGCTACTGCTGCTGCTTGCCTCTGTGGTTAACTTAATCGGTTTGACGGTCAACGCACTGTCATCATAGTAGTAGTCCTCCTCATCGTTATACGTCTCCTAATTGAGAGATCCCATGTTATTTTTAGCTCGCTGGCAACTCGTTAGCTGCATATTGGTTAACTGGTTCTTGAGCCCCTCACAGTCACACTCACACTCACCTCAGCTAACCCATTCTGGCCCACCTCGATGATGGCCACATCCTTGATGCTCACGTGGATGTTGAATCTGCCCGTCTGTCGCTGATCGAAGACCACTCGCCCCGAATCGGGCGCTTCGCTGGTCGCCGGCGTTTCGGCATCTTCGATGGGCATCGTTTGGGCCAGGCCGAAAGCCATCAGTGTAAGCGATATCAGCAGCATTTTACCAATTGAAACCAGTTCTAAGGGGGCACGAAAAGAATCTCTGTTGAAGGTACGTGTGCTCTTCTTGAAGGTGAGATCACAACTGCGACGATCGCTGGGTATGATGGCCCTACTTAAAGGTACTACTTTGTCGGGCAACACTGCGAAAAAAAAGATTTTAAAAAATTAAAATTAAAATTTTAATGTTGTTTGTGTTGTTTTAATAATTATAGAAACTAACTAATGTTACTCGAATTCTACATTATTGAGTCATTAATAAGATGAGTATTAAATAGAAAATAAAAAGGAACCTATAAAATATAAGCTTTATAATACTTCTGAGTATAAAATGCAGATATGTTATTTAATATTAGATCAATAACACTTTTAGTATATTTTTATCATAAGGCTAAGAGAGTTTATACTTTACATTTTTGTTTTGGGTGTACTGAGCTTCAACTCGATAACTTTTATCTTTGGGTTTTCAAATCTGTATGTATCAATAAATAAATCCATAATTCTATCTTTTTTCCTTAGCAAATAAGTTCAAAAGATTTAATAAAATTTGTTTTGTCCTGTTGAGCTTTGTGCATGATGGCTAAATCGATTTGGGCCAATTATAACATTATTCTATGCAAATAACCTGCATTTTCGTTTTTATCTGCTGGGTTTTTAAGGCTCACTGATTCAACTACAGTATTCCACATGCACATTTAAGCTGGACTATGTGTATTCCGATTTATGTACATAAATATATATGCACAATATTTACTCTCTACTTGGCAAACACAAACGCCTTTGAGGTGCTAAAGAGCTGCTCAGAAGAGCTAGAAACTAAGTGACCAACAGCTTGGCTAATATCAAATGCATATAGTCATAAAGGTAAACAGATGGACATCCAGGCAAATAGTTAGACAGTCCAGTTGAGTTCATTTGAGGTCTGTCGACGTGGGTAAGTGGCATGGGAACGACACGAAGGTGTGCAAGAATATTTAAATGGGTGTTAAGAACTACCCACGCATGTTCATTAGAGAGTAATCTCAAATGTAGATTAATGATCATGATTGAGATTTATGTATATGTATATTGCTTAACCAACATACAAATCATAATTCGAGTTTCTATAGGAGGGACGGCCACTCAAAGTTCATCGAAAAGTCATTAATTAAGCCAGGTATCGAATCTATCGCGTTTTGCCTCTCCAATTAGCTGCCATTGAGTAATTAGGAGGTCAGTTTCTTGTGCGTAGCCAATCAACGTTCCAGCACCATTTACATAACACCTAACCACTAATTATGCAATTATGCAAGCCATATCCAGGAAAATCATATGCCAAGACCACTTCTCGACCGCCTTGGTCCCTCATTTGTATGCAACGTCAGGCGAAGTGCAAAATCAGCATTTCTCATTAGATGGAATTCTCAGAGCCAAAACCAAGTGAAAAAGTGTAGCCTCAAAAAATTAGATTAATTTGAAATGAAATTTCAGCCAGCTGCCCGCGGATTTCCTTCGGGGCTGGGCGGCATTCGTAATTAGTTTTAAGCGAATTCTGGGCCGCAAACATTTCAAGGTTTAATGCATGGCTGCCGAGCCTTGAGGAAACTTTTTCGTTCTTTGGGTCAGACCTCTGTCAAGCTCAGCTAAAAGAAAAATAAAAAAACGACGCAAAAGGGTAGAAAGGAGCTGGCCGCATATGAAGTGTATAAATTACACTTCATCATGAATTTATTATCAGTGCCGCAGCAGCTGCATCTGGAGCAGCCACGAATGCACCACTGCAGCACGCTGGCTCAGCACAAGATTCCTTCCTTTCTCACCTGCACACAAACACAGTCACAACAAAGGGGAACAGGATTTCCAGGACCGAAGCTTTAGATACCCTTGCAGTTTAATCTTAGGCCCAAAACTACAGCATGTTATTTTAAAAAGAGGATTTTTTTCGCTTTCGGAACTATTAAGAAATTATGTACATTATTGTTAGCCAATAAAAATTTAAAATGGGTAATAATAGGTACTCAAATCTGATTTGCATTCCGAATTAAATCAAAAATGATTTATTGAGATTATAAAAGTTGCAAAAACTGCGATACCCATAGAAAGGCTATAAAAGGGGTGCGAAACACGCAGCATGGCAACAACAGCGTTGGTGGGATGTTGACCAGGGCATGCATTTTTCGCGCCAGCCAACTTGAAATTGTGTAAACTCAGCGGAAAAATATTAATTCTAATTTCCAAAGCCATCCCAGTCCAAGGACTTTCGCCTTTTCGCCCCTTCTTATAAATGCTTGCCGTTTAGCAGTACCTTTAATTTTGCACTTTATATTTTTTTGCTCTTTTTACTGTCGTTACACGACCATTTGGAGCTTTCATCAATTAGCTCCTTGAAAGCAGGAAAAAGGAGGCAAACGTTGAGTAGCTTTTAGTGTCGTAAGACTGTCGGACGAAGGCTTATGCTAAAAAACTTCTGCCTTGCCTACTTTTTTCGGGAGTGACGCTTCGTAAATAATTTTCAGGCTTTTGGGCCCAGTTTGGTAAATCGCATTCTCAAGTGGATAAGTGAAATGGAGTGTTAAATGCAAAGGCAGCAGATGTTCAATTGTGATGATGCAAATTTGACTCTTTTCTTAATAATGCCAAGATAATAGAGCCAGAAAAGATGATCCTGTATCTGAAACACAAGATGAGCAGTCGACTATAACTCCATAAATAGCAAATTATTGGCTGAAGTAATATTTATATGTCCCTCAATACCTGAGTAGTTTTATCAAGAAGCATTTTCAAAGCACTCACATATACCTTGTACATGTATACCTATTTATATTTATTTAATTTATTTATTTATATCTTCTTCCTAACGCTACAAGTATAATACTTATAATTTAATGCGCTAGTCACACATGACAAGTTAACTTTGTGTTAATAATTGACTTAACTCTAGTTCACAAATTGTAATTATACTTATATTTAATCTAAAGCTAGGGTCGCTATGTTTATTTTATGTCCTGTTAGCTGCTTGGAAATGAGAAATTAATTTTGCCTTAAACTGCGCTGCACTACTAATATTTTGAATACAGTTTGGTAGTTGGTTCCATGACCTTATTGCATGAATAAAGAATTGCCGGTCAGAAAGCAGGGATCTATGCCTTATTTGAATGATAGTTTTTGATCTGAGCGAATTGGCAAATCTAAGCGTTTCAAAGAGGTAGCTTGGTTGTTTAGTAATAATTATTTTATGTAGGTATACTAACACTCTCATTTTCATCCAGTCTGCCGAGTGCAGTTCAAATATTTTGTAAGCAAATCCTGTGACGTGATCAAATCGATGCAGATTAAATACGAATCTCGCAATGCTATTATAGGCCACTTTAATTTTGTGCTGGCTGATTGAATCACTGTTTGCAAAAACTTCAATCCCATAAAAAAGTGCTGGGATCAGACACGATTTGGCAAGCAACAGACGTATGTTTGTGGGTAAATAATTTCTAACCTGGTAAATTGCTCTGAGTAATCCATACGTTTTCCCTACAGCTGCGTTAATGTGATCACTCCAGGTCAGCGTACTGTTAAAAACAAAGCCCAAGTTTGTGGCTTTTTCAACGTATTCAATAGGTATGCTGTTTAAAACTAAGGGCTGGATGGAGTTAATGCTAATTTTCGTTTTGTAAATTATGAGACACTTGGATTTTGCCGGATTAAGACCTAGCCCGTTATCTTTTGCCCAGTTGCTTATTTGGACCAGTTCACTATTACATATATCTACACACTCATCTATTCTACGTAGGGGACGACTCACATACATTTGGACATCGTCTGCGTACATATGGACATTACAATTTGATAACGCAGAAGGAAGATCATTCACATAAAGAGTAAACAGCAACGGACCAAGAACAGAACCTTGAGGCACGCCACGTTTTAGAGATACAAAAGAAGACGAGACATTTGAGATTACAACAGACTGACGACGATTTAGTAGATATGAGGACATAAGTTTAACGGCAGTTTTTGAAAAATTGAACTGATTTTTTAATTTTGCACATAGAACATCATGATTAACAGTGTCAAAGGCTTTACTATAGTCAAGGAGTACAAGGAAGGTCACAAAGGATTTGTCAGCATAGTCACGTATATCATTTGAAATTTTTATGATAGCTGAAGTGCAACTACGATTTTTCCGGAATCCGGATTGCATATGGTTTAGTAAATCATTTTCTTGCATAAACAAATTAATTTGGGCTGCCATTATGTTTTCAAAGGCCTTGGACAAATAGGGAAGGATAGAGATGGGCCTATATTCATTGTTTGCCTTTCGGACGGGGACTATTTTGGCGATTTTCCAACTGTCTGGAAATGTAGATGTTGTTATGGCAGTATTAAAAATGTGTGTTATGTATTGTATGATTTTATGAAGCAATAATTTTAAAAATTTAGGGTTGATATCGTCCAGTCCAACTGCATCTGATTTAATTTTAAGGATGTTGAAAAGCACTTCACATTGATTGACACACACAAATCTAAACCTATTATCACAGACATTTTCAGGTACTGATCTCAGGTACATATTGTTATTGCAGATTTCAGATGTATATACCAATCCCAATAACAACTACACAACCCGCATATAATTCAAATTATTCGCACACAAATTCGTTAGTGGGGCATAGTAAATTCGGAAACTTTTTAAAAGGGTTTTCGCTTTTGACATCATTGAAGCAGCCAAGCACTTTGATACGAATAAATCAGGCTTTTGTACAACGGTATTTTATTTGTTTACTTGGGAAATAAATTACACAATCTTAGAAAAATGCCTTGCTGGGCCATACTTTAAAAAGTATTTATGTAAGCCATCGAAAATGGGTTATAAATTGTATTTTGCATTTAAATGCTTAATACTAAAAGTATTAAGTAATATGAGATGCCAAAAACGAAACAAGGAAACAAATTTTTGCTAATAAAGTAAAACTATAATATATTTTCTATTTAGAATAATTATTTCAGATTCCATTATATAAATATCAATGCCAAAGGCTGCATAATTCCTGTCAGACACTTTTAAAATTTCTTGATTAATGGGTGTGATGTATCACAGTTCAAATATGAAGGCAAACAAAAAATAGGTCTATCCAATGTTGTCAACGAGTCTGTGTATATGCACTTTGGCCTTAAACTGTCGGCAAGCGATTCAACCCAGCCAGGTGGCAAAACGAAAAAAATTAATTCGATAATTAAACACAGTGCTCTCATCGTTTTAATCTCTGCGCACATTTTGCATATTAATCACTTAATTAGGTTAACATTATTAAAATAAACACGCCAGACTCTCTGCTGGTTTTGCGCCCGTATTTATCAGGTAAACACACAAAGACTCATACGCACACGTGTTGTAGAGGTTGGACTTAATTTTATGTGACGCAGGTGCTTGAAATGGTGGGCTCAAAGGTTAATTTAAGCCCTCTTTGTATGAGCGTTCATTAGGCCAACTATACGCGGAGCCACCTAGCGGGCACACGACGTACTACCGTAAAAAGTTTTAACACAGAGAAAAAAATTAAAAGGTATCATCTTTTTATTATTAACTTTTTAGTATGCTTTTAAGATGTACATAAATATTAATAGCAATAAAAGTGGCCTTTTCGATGAATGTGGATCTTCAATAATTTAAAAAAAATTCAAAACACACAATATTTGTTAGCAAAAATAAATTAAATAAGTAAAATATATCAATAGAATAAAAATAAAAATAAATATCTTTATAAATGTACATACTGAAATCTGATATTAAAATAAAAATTTGTTTTTTGATTTTAGTGATATGTTTTTTCTGTGTACATGCCAGGAATGCCAACGATTAGATACGGAGAAATTCATTCGACAGTCACATAAACGCGTACTGCAGCCGCGAAGGAATGTGTGTGTATCCTTATCACAAGGCACATAAATAATATTTATTGTTCTTTATGGGGGCAGCTCAAAGGGCCGCGAAGATGCCAACCCCACGGCCTAGTGTCAGTTGGGAAACATTCAAGTGTTTCAAATATTTTTTAACAGCTTTCCCCAGACACTCGCCCACACATACTCTCCTCTGGAAAATGTCTTCATTGCGCTTTAATGAAATGCTTGAGGGAAACTGGAGGGTTGACATAGGGTTGGAGGGATTTCCCGCCTGCTCTTCTTATTTGCACTTTAAATTGCGTACAAAAGTATGCTCCAGCCTTCATAATAAACACAATTTATGTGCCGCCCACCTTTTCGTTCCTTATTTCCTTTTCGCAAACATTTCACTGCCAGAACTTTGCGATTAAGTAATTCCAAAAGTTGTTTGTAAAAAATTACTCAGGTTCATGGAATGTGTTTGCTAGTAATATTTTAAATTGAGCGACACTGCCATCTGATATTAATAATATTTTTTGGGGCCACGAGTCCTGTGTCTCCTGCGAAACTTTCAGCAGACTCGCCCGGAAGTGAGGTTCATCCCGCCGCAAAGAGACATCAATCAACTGGAACATCAATCATGCTGAGTTTCAGTTAGCAGAAGGTGAGTGACGAATGCCAAGGAGATGGCAGCCAAGATTGCAAGGTGACAACAGAGGAAATTATATTTGGATGGGATAATTGTTCAATGGGCCGCCTAATTAGTGGTAAGTGTTATGTTTTTAAATAATGCTTATTATTAATATTAAAATCATTAAAATCTTTAAATAATTTATTTAAAAATGTTTTGTAAATCAGTTAATCATTAAGATTGAATTTTTTAAGACTTTATTTATGCAGAATATTGCGTTGGTATGATTTGTATGTCTAATGGGGTTGTAAACCCAAGGATAATTTTTGTCAACTCATTCGAGTATCACGTGCATATAATTGTAGCTTGAAACTAAAGAGCTTCCACCCTTTTACAATCGATGACTGGCAAAATTCGAGATCTCTGGATAGATTAAAAAAATCGAAGGAGTACAAACTTTTTACAAGACTCACTCCCAGTTCAGTCTTAGATAATGCTTTGTGGATTGTATTTCGTCTGCGGTATTTTGCTCCTGTACGGGGTTTTGGGCATGCCGATGCTTCCTTTCGAGGGAGGCACCTATGAATCGGAGTTCATACATAATTTAACCAGTCAAATGGTCGCCAAAAATAAGATTGAAACAATGGCCACCTACGGAGTAAATCGGGAACTGCAACGATTGCGGTTGATTGTGTCCAAATCCATTGAGCAATCGCTGACGGAGGAATTCCAAGTACCAATCGTCGTTTGGGGACTGAGACGAAATATCAGTCTGCGACATTTACTGGGCTACAAAACCCTGATCTGTGTTAGCATAAGCAGTGTGCTGCCCGACGAGGAACCCATTTTTGATGTTTTAACTGATGGCTTAGTGGGCTTGCATTATGTTCCGATGCTCTTTGTCTACAAACGTTTGGGAAATATACCACCTACGAGGGATACGCTGAGAGCATTTTTCACCTGGTGCTGGCAGCACCGTTTTACCAATGTGTTCCTAGTATTTCAGCTACGTACGCTTAATTATTCTACTGGACAAATCAGTGACGTTGCGCGGAATGAAATCTATAGCTACACACCATTTCCCAAGCTCACTATTCGGAATCTAACCCAGACGGGATATCGGCAGGTGGACATAATGATGGATGTAAGGGGCTATGAGTTTCGAGTGCCCGTATTTCAGGATCCCCCCAATGTGATTATGGTATTACATTTGACTTAACCGAAATTTTGATGAGATAATATATATTTGAAGAAAAATTAAAAGAAACAAGAGAGAGCGCTATAGTGGGGTGCCCCGACTATGAGATACCCGTTACTAAGCTAAAGGGAGTGCGAAGGAGATGGAGATAAAAACTTTGATCCGCCGTAACTTTTTAACAAATGGTCCGATTTAAAAAATTTTTTCTACATTTTGATAGGTATTGATAAACACTATAAAACTCCATTTTTACTTTTCCGAAATATTAAAATTTCTAAAATCGTGTATAAGCGATTGTAGGCGTTAGAGGGGGCGCAGCACCCTTTTAAAACAAACTTGCGCTGCGTAGGAACTCCTAGAATCTGCATGCAAAATGTCAATCTTCTAGCTTTTATAGTTTCCGAGATCTCAGCGTTCATACGGACATCACTCGGCTAGTGATCCTGATCAAGAATATATATACTTTATAGGGTCGGAAATGCTTCTTTCTAGCTGTTACATACTTTTGCACGAATACAATATACCCTTTTACTCTAAGAGTAACGGGTATAATTATATATTATAATTATAATTATAAATTTATTTAATGATGTAGCTCGGCGCTACAAGTAATTTATTTATTATGTACTAAGATTGGTTTTAAAAATGGAAAATTTAACTTTAGTTTGACTTTTAGAAAACCTGGAATATTTTATATACTTATCAATGACATTTTATTTATTATTGTTTACAGCTTCCAAACGGCTGTCTATCCGGAGCCCTGGGCCTTCTGTTTTCCGCGTACGTGCACCACAGAAGAGGGATCCTCCGCCTGGAGCCCGTCACCCATGTGGACAGATACAGCTACCAGGAGCAGGAGCACCTGATGCTGGCCCCTGCCCGCGGCGAGATCGAGATGGGCGTGCATCCGTACTCCCCGATGCAGTTAAACTCCTCGCTGATGGCAGGCAGTTTTCCGCTGGGCACGACCAAAACCTGTGTTTTAGTGCCCTGGCAGCGGGAATCGCCTTCGGTCCGATTCATGCGGATGGCCGCCCGCATAAATGGTCCCTTTTTCGTGATACTCCTGGTGGCGATGACCTTATTCTGGCAGCTGGTATTTGGACGATGGCGACTGGGCGTCCATCTCACTTTGGTGACCTTCTTCCAACAATCTTTGCCGAACAGAGAGTTTCGTCGCCTGGCGGAGTCGTACAAGTTCCTCCATGTTTTCCTGCTCTTCGGCTCCTTAGTTTTGTGGATAATGCGCACGGCAAATTTGTCATCGGTTTTTACTTCAAAGGTTAGTTGGTTAAATATTTTTTTAAATTTTTTAGGTTTTTTTTCGTATTTTTATTGATTTAATTAATTTATAATTAGTTTTTTAATTTTAAGTTTAAAAAATCATACTAGCGTTCTAATGTATTTCCAAATGATGTACATATTTTAAATCACTAAATTGACAACCTAATTTACGTTAAATATTTTTACAAATCCTAGATGCCTGGGCGGCAGATTGAAACAGCCGAGGACTTTCTGGCCACGCCATTACGGCTTATGTTGACGGAAACGGAAGTGGAAATGTATTTCACCGCCGGATTGTTGCCCTCGGCACTTTTGCCACGCCTCCTGGTGGTCAACAAGACGACCCTGATGGAGCATTTGGACAGCTTGAATAGCAGCTACGCCTACTGCAGCACCGCGGAGCACTGGAGAGTGGTTTTGATGCAGCAGCGGCGAATGTACCGACCACCATTTCGAGTGGCCTCGAAGCTTTGCACCACCCCGCAATTTCTGCGATTTCCCGTGCAGCGGAATTCGCCCTTCGAGCGGAACTTCTACCGCTTTGGCATCCATTCGCTGCAATTTGGCTTCTGGCGTCACTGGTTGAGTCGTAGTCTTCGGGAGGCGATTGAATTGCGCCTCGTCGTGGAGCTTACAGATGACTATCTGCCGTTTCAGAGCCTGACTTACATGGACTTCGAAGTCCTGATAAAAGTATACTTTCTTTGTTTGCTGGGCTCTAGTTTATGCCTCTTGGGTGAATTTGTTTGGCATTATTATAAAAAGGACAGGATTGTAAGCTAAAACTCGAGTTCTTATTTTCTTTTAATATTTTACTTTTTTTTACCCGTATTATAAAACGCACAGGTGTATAAGGTGAATTTGGAGTTTACATATTCAAATAATTGCTAATGACGATTTTATTTAACGTTTTGTATCTCACTGTAATAATAATTTGTTTCACTATTTAGCAGTAAAAACAGGTTATGAAATGCACAATAAAAAAAATAGTTCATAAAAATTTGTTTATCAATTAAAATTATTGGAAAAAAATAAAAAACTTTTGTTTTTATTATATATGGGTAAAACTCGCGGTTTTTAAACTCGCTTAGAAGTTATAATTGTAACAAAAAGTTTGACCAATTTATTTTTCAATCGTTTTAATTTAAGGCTTCTTTGTAACTTTTCTAAAAAAAATCATATCAATATGAATCCAAGCTCTTGTCCAGCGACCGCTTACCGAGGACTATTATTTAGCCTCAGGGGTGGAACATCCATATTTGAGCGTAACTCATTTGGCTTAACTTTTGTCTGGAGAACTTCACGAAGCAAATCAAAAGAAGGACGTAGAGTCGTTGGGCAATTGGAAACATATCGACGACTGGGTAAATAGAAAATTCAATTTGAAACGATTGCTTACTGGATAACGAAAGCCTGCCTGCCTGCCAGTCTGTCTGTCTGTTGTGCACTTTTGGGCCAGCCTTCAGCAGAACTTTCCACAGGCAATCCGCTTGGCATACGCTTCTCGCCCTCATTCCCATCATGTCAGCTCGCCCCCCATAAGAACCTGGCCCAATCCCCGCCCATGGCTCCTGCCCACTCAGCAAGTTGGCCACAAACAAACTTCCTGTATCGATGGTAACACTCACGTACCGTTATCGCCCAGCCCCCGGGCCAATATCTAAGTGAAAACACAGATCAACAGTACGACAATCAGCAGAGAAACAGGCCCAGACCCCACAGACACACATCCGCAGTCAGGAACATATTCCCATTCCCACTTCCACTGCCACATCCACTTCGTTTCCAATCCCAAAACTCTCACCTGCAACGTAGGCAACATCAGACAAGGCAAAGGTAAAGGCAAAGACAAGGCCGAAAGACCCAAGGCATCTGCACCGGGGAAAAACTATATCTACATTAATGGACTTAGACCCAAATTCGGGATTTGTGAATTAAATATCACGTCTTCCATTTAACTTCCCGATCCAATCCCCTTTAAGATATTAAATTGCCAAACTAAGCTAGATCATACAAGGTAATAGCCTAGAAAAGGGGCTAAAAAATTACCCTCGATGAACCGCGATTGTTACGATTCGGAAAAAAAAAGTTTTACGGATTGTTAGCATAGTATTAGCTATTCAAATTATAGTATTGTAACCCATTTTTCCAAACGATTTTTATTTAAATTTTCCTCAAGAAGTTTATGCAAAACATGGTTTTATTAGATTTTGGACTATTTTCAGGGAAAAAGGTTATTTGAAAGCGTGTTTTTGTTTAAGTGAGTTTACCATTTTCCCCCACAAAATGGCAGGCAGGTTACAAATTGTATGCTCCAGCTCCTCGCACTAGTTCCCATTCCATACTCAACCTCCCCGAATCCTCGGAGCAGTTTGATTGGTTGGAGGCGCCTTGCCCCCTTCCTATTGCCTTGTTTTTGCACGTTTTACGGCAGGTTGCATTTCTTGGATTGCATTTAAGCAACATTTATGCATTTTTAATGTGACAGCTGAAATGATGAGACGGCAGCCCAGGTTTCCAATGCCTCCCTGCTTCTGCTTCTTTGTGCTGACAGCGTGTGTGTAGACTTCTTCACCTGCCACCCCGCATCTCCCACCATTTGACCCCATGGCTTATGCATTTTGCAGTGTCAAGAAAGTTTCACTCTCGCTTTACCGAGGCCAAGTCCGACAATTCGAGTAAATCATTAGATAATGTGCCGGGGATTTGCGTGGGCTCAGCACATCATCCATGATATATTGCATGATCATACATATTTTAAGTTAGATAAAAGGTCATAAAGTCATCACAGAAAACCATAAAGCACACACAAACACAGTTACCTGATCTCGTTAATAAAATAAAATATATATTTAATATTGATCTCAGTTGCAATAAAGGCAAAATATCTATACAAAAAACACCTTTTGACGAGGTAAAATCTAGCGTTTAATTGTTATATATATGATGGACGTTGATGCACTACGAGAAGTACAAACAAGTGGCCCAACGACACCAAGCACGTGCTTGTTACGCGCGGGGCCCTTTTGTAAATTTGGGCAAAAATGCGAGTTCGCGAGGAAGAATACATAAAACCAATAAAGACGGGACAAATAATAAAAAAAAAAAAAACATGCAGTTAGGAGTGAAGCAAATGAGTTAAAATGTTAGTTTTTAATACCGGGATAGAAGTTGATGTGCAAATTAAATGATAAAGAACTTTATAGTTATTACATAGAACGCGAAAGGGCTCGTGCAGACCAAAATTTGAAAAACATCGAGGTAAATTAAGAGGTTGATAATTACGTGTTAGTCTAACGGGAACATTAAAAGTTAGGCGGCTAACAAGTTCTACAGAATCAATATCACCTCTTATAAGATTATGCATAAAAATGGTACCCAGCATTTTTCTACGATTTGCAAGTGTGGGCAGATTAAGCAATAATAATCTACTCTGGTAGGAAGGTAGCCTTACGTTTTGATCCCAGTTCAAACTACGAAGGGCAAAAAGGAGAAATTTTTTTTGTACCGACTCTACACCCAGAGAAATGTGGGACTATTTTTTAGGTAACGTATGACCTAAAAAATTTAAATAGACTAAAATTTCAGATTTAGGTAATGGGTTACCTAAAAATATTAGCATGTGGACTATGTTCCTACTTTTTAGGTAAAGCTAAAGAGATTTTTATAGGCCATCGTAACCTTCAAATTGGTCCATAAGACCTAAAATTTAGGAATAATTTAAAGTCGATTATCACTCACAACTTAATACAAATATTGGTTCCTAATATTAATAAACAAATTATTCGGTTTTTTAAGTTTAATGTTAAAAAATTTTTTAGACTTTTCTTAAAGCTAGTGATGGAAAAGTTTCAATATATAAAATCAATACCTACGTGGACTATTTTCCTACTTTTAAGGTAATAGTGCCCTATTCTAAAAATAGAATTCGCCTGAGCCCCTTGAAGCAGGCTTTGGTTTTGCCGCAGGGCCTTTAAGTAGTTCCGTAGACCAGAGGCTAGCCTATTGGACTCTCGCGCAGAAGACCCGGGATCGATTCCCACCGAGGACAAAATAAAGTGATTGTTTTTTTCAGAAAGATAAAATATTTGCTTTTCCGAATAATACAATATAAGCAATTAAAATAATCAAATATGTTACTATCAATAGTAAAAATCCTAGCTTTTTTTTTAAATACCTAATATTTAGGTAATTCTGACCTAAAAATCTAGTCCACTAGCCATTTTTTTAGGTAACCATTACCAGAAATAAATTCAAGACTGCGTACAAAATATAGTCCACATGGACAACATTTTAGGTAATGCATGGCCTTGGCGCGTTTTTCTGGCCATATTTCCTAAAATTTTAGGTAATTAGGCCCCTTTTTAGTCCATTTTGTTTTCTGGGTGTATACGGTCAATGTGGACTTGGTATTGTGGGCTCCAAACCGAAGAACAATATTCCAATATAGGACGGACAAGGGAGGTAAATAATAATTTGGTTATATAAGGGTCATCAAATTCTTTTGACCAACGCTTTATAAACCCAAGAACACTCATAGCCTTATTGACTGTCGACATTATGTGGCAGTCAAATTTAAGCTTCGGGTCCAGAAGAACGCCTAAGTCATTTACTGAATATATACGGTCAAGTGGCAAATTCTGAAGCGAATAACTTATAAAGGTTGGGGTAACCCTATAAAAGGTCATTACGTTGCATTTTAGGCAGTTCAAATTTAAGAGGTTATACTCACACCATACTTGAAAATGATCAATGTCTGATTGTAAGCCAAAACCAGACTCTATATTATTATAAGTCAAACAAAGCTTAACATCATCAGCATACATTAGTACACGAGAATGTGTTACAATAGAGGGAAGATCGTTAATAAACAAAGTAAACAGCAAAGGGCCCAAATGACTACCCTGAGGTACTCCAGATGTCACATGGATCGTTTTTGAAACAGCGTTCTTAAATATAACCCTCTGAGTCCTCCCATTCAAATAGCTTGAAATCCAAGTTAATAGATTACATGGAAAGCCAAGCAAATCTAATTTGAATAAAAGAAGAGAGTGGTTAACAGAGTCAAAGGCTTTACTGAAATCTGTATATACAACGTCAGTCTGCATTTTATTGTTAAATCCATTTATTACAATTGATGACAATTCAAGTAGGTTGGTGGTAGTCGATCTTCGCTTAACAAAACCGTGCTGACACGGTGATATTAGCGAGGAACATAAATGTTGCAAATGAGAAGTGATAATACGTTCAAAGGCTTTTGGAATAGCCGACAATTTAGAAATACCTCTATAATTCTGGGCATCCGCCTTCGCACCCTTTTTGTGAAGTGGAATAATAAAAGAATCCTTCCAGATAGTTGGAAAAACTGATGATGAAATAGACAATTGAAAAAGTTTAAGAATAGGTTTGCAGATGGTTGATGCACAAAACTTAAGCACACACCCAGGAAGTCCATCAGGACCGGGAGAATAAGTTGGCGTTGTTGATGTTAAATTTCTTAAGAGAGAACTTTCGGTAATTATAGGGGAAAAAATACAATTTGCCCTATTTAAGGGATTACGGTAATTTGATTCTGTCCATGAAGAAGAGCTATAAGTAGTTTGGAAAAAGTCAGAGAATAAATCAGCAATTTCAGAGTCAGTCGATGCCTCCATTGAGTTAAATCGAACCGATGAAGGCAAAGCTGATGACTTTCGCTTTGCGTTGACAAAGTTATAAAACTGCTTCGGGTCATTTGAAAATTCAAATTTACAGCGATCTAAATACATAGAATAGCAATGACT